CCCCCCCCCCCCCCCCCCCCCAAAAAAAAAAAATAATAAGCACTGTGGAAAATGAATTTGATCATATTCTCTTCAAGATATGAAACTCTCTTTGGCTCTACTCATGAATTAGCTTGTAATCGGATCTACCTATAGAGTAACGGTATTTGATTGTGAAGATTAGTTGGGTTTTGGAAGAACAAGGTCATAATCCTTCTGTTAAATAGGATTTCCATGGGAAATTCCTTCTCATCTAAAATTGCAAATTGAAATGATTGAATTTGCACCCATAGTTTCCTATGAGTTCACATGCAAAAAGAATCGGGATAGAAAAATTTATACATTTTGATGATTTTGTGTATTATCTATCAAATTTTCTATTGTTTGGTTGTGACTGCATAGTTAGGAGGCTAGATGCGATTCTAAATTGACCAAGATTGAGCCAAGATTTCCAGGGATTTATTGATTTTGCAATCTTCTTCCCCAATTCATGGCACTTATGGCTCAGACAACTTCTCTTGATTTCGCTATATAACCCCTAAAGGTCGCCGCTACATCAAAAGAAGACATTGATGCTCAAGTGAGATGATCAACCACCAACTATTCAAGCTACTGTTACACCAATTGCTGAAGAACCCTAGATTTGCAGTATAGAATAAAATGTTTATTGTTTTGCTTGTAACAACTTGATTCTTCTTAAGAAAGGAAGAATCGAGCTAGATCGACAAGCAATCTAAGAGATTTTTTATCTTTTACATTTTGTCCTCTCCCCCCTGATTGTTTACTTCCATTAAACTTTTTGCGTAAGCTCATTTCTATTCAATTTGTGTTTGTCTATTCTTTCCTTATGAGCTAAATTTTTCCTTGGGTTCACTTTTGGGAGCATCTAGAGTTCCTTGAACAATGTGATATCTCACCCCAAGTAAATCTTTAACCCTTCCCCGTCTTACTAAGACTACATAGTGTTCTTGTAAATTATGGTCAATTCGAGGTATATGAACCGTGATTTCGAGATTTTTTTAGGATGATATTTATTTTTTATTTCTTAAACGAACCATCCAAAACTATTATTTTCACAGGTGAATCATGATTTTTACTTTCATTTGAATTTTAACACAAACATTCTCCAAATTTGATATTTAGAATACTTCCATTTTATTACTCGTTAACAGTCCCCCTCTCAACCAAATATTGAACGAGAACACCTCCAGTTGGACAACAGACTGCAACCAAAGCTGACGTGTGCAAGAAATAATCCTACATAGCTAATGATGACGTGAGCAATCCCAAGGTGACACGTGGCACACAGATGGTGTGATAGTGACATGATTAGTAGACAATCTAGATTTATGTTTTTGTTTTTATATTCTAAGTCAAATGGATTCAGAAATATTTATTTGATTGTAATTCATGAAAATTATGAGAACAATATTTTGTATGCTTATATATTGTAAACTAATTTTATTTTTGTTAAAAATATATACTATAAATTATATAATATTGTAAAGTGATATTTATACAAATTATATTACGTAGAACATTTCGTAATTCAATTAATTATAGTTAAAGTCTTGTAGTTGGTAACTAGAATTATTTTTATTATTTATACATTTATTACAAACACATTTTAAATTCAAACATAGTTTTAAATTTTCTACCAGACACATATTAAAAAATATTGAAAATATGAAATTCAAATACTGATTTTAAAAAATAATAATAAATTAATTGTTTTCACACTTTTGTTTTTAAAGCACAGGTCTACCAGATTAACCTTTGTGCATGGGTTTCATAGACCTTTTGCCCCACTCTCTATACTGTTTTTAATTTGGTTTAAACAGATTTCAGCCATTAGTCTCGGCCATGGCTACTAATCTAGCATTCAACCCCTCTAAAGCCTACTTTTAACCTCATTTCTTCCGAGATCTCAAACTAAACTTCTCCCTAATAAACATGTTTCAAAACAGTAAAATTGACGGCGATACGTAAATGGTCAAAATATATAATATCTATTGGTGGTAGACTTTGGCCGGTATCAAAGTCAAATACCAAGTGGTTGAGCCATTACGGGAGTAGATTGTGAGATAGATTGGAGAGAGAAACGAAACATTTTTTATAAGAGTGTTGTGAAACTGACGACAATACATAACGAGCTAAATAGTTTAGTTCATAGAAATTTATTAAGACTTATAAGTGTGGGTGTACTTTGAAATTGAATAAATAGGTTAATTTTGACTCGATCCCATAAAAGTATTAGAGGGTAGTTTAATTCAAACTTTACATACCATTTTAGTAATTAATTGGTTTACAGGATGATTCTTCAACTTCATTAGTTTAATAATGTACGAACGTCAGTATGATAAAAGGAAGTTCATCCTAGTTTCATTCTTAACTAGTCAGAGATATGTTCACATTAGTACATACCCAATAAAATGCCTAATTCTTTTAATGGTTAAATTACTAGGTGCTAATTTAGGTAAATTTAAATTGAAAATAATATTGTTTATATTTAAAATAAATAAAAAAAATCAATCGATAGGAAACTTTATTCATTCTAAATATTGATGCGTGTGGCATAAAAGAAAATAGTCTAGCTATATAAAATAAAAGTTTAATGAATAAATAAATAAATAACTAGAGCAAACTGCATTCTGAATCTACTTCCTAACATAATTAATTACTATAGCTTGAAAAATCATCATTCATTGGGTCTAATATATGAACCACTCACTCACAATGCAACACAAACTTATTAATTGAAACTTTATATAACATAAGGAGGTTTACAATTTTATGTTATAGTATGGTTCTACTTTTACTTTAAAAAAGAATTTTATTCAGAAAAACACATCCAGACATAGGTGTGAAGTATGAAGTGTGTGTGGGTATTATGACTATTCAGCCAAAACCTAAATCCAATCAGACACATCCCTTAAAAGTTGGCTTTAGCACATGGCCTTCCCTTTCCTCTCCCCTCTATCTCTCTCTAAAAACTTGTCAACATCAGAGCCCAACCATTGAGACACAGACTGTGGCTTCTGATGTCCATCTCACTGCGATAATTAAGAGAAAATGCATCAGAAACCACACCTCTCTTCTGCTCTGCTCTGCTCTGCCCCTTCTTTCTTTAACTGCATGCTTTGCATTGCCACTCTTCTCTCTCACCGCACTCACCACGCCTTCTCCCTTTCTCTCTCTCTCTTTCATTTCACTACAGCATTTCTTTTACCACATTCAATTTCCCTCACAAACAAATTTACTTCTATTTTTCCCTTGCTCTGAGTTTCCAGGAATTCCATATTTCTAACTATGTGATTTCATAATGAAATGTAGATTCACAAACGCGAAAGCAATTGCAATTCTGATTATGTATCATGATTCATGAAGGAATGAGTAAAAGAATGATTACCTTCTGGAGAATTCTTGAGTAGAGAAATTGAAATCCAACGGTTGTATGTACCTGAGATTTCAACTTCTCTTGTGCGTATTGTGTTGCTCAAAACCTACAAAACTTGCCTAAATCAGAGAGGACAATCAATGAAGTTTGGATGTGCATATGATTGATTCGGTGCGTGTCAAAATGAACTCGTATTGATGTAATGAATATTTTTAAAAAGAAGAAACGAAAGAAAGAAATTCTAAACTTCGCTATTCAAATTCTCTCCACGTTCTCTCCAACCAAACACGGCATGCAAAATGAAAATTCCAGAAAGTTATCGATCGTTCCGACCGTCTTCTCTTCTCAATTTCCTTTTCTCTGAATCAAGAAGAGTAAACTACGATGATACGGCATTTTCTCTCTCATCGGATCCGTAAAACTCGATCAGCCTCTGCAAAACGAACACCTGATTCTTCAAAAGCACGATGTAATCCGCCGTCTCTTGAAACAACTCCTCCGATCTCCGGTGATGTCCTTCGCCGTTGTTCTGAGTCGGAATGAGACTCTGGAGCGCCTCAAGCCTCGCCGATACGTCTGATGAGCACGCTTTTCCGCCATTTTTGTGGATTCTACGAGCTCTGAGGATCCTAGAACCGTACCTCGATCGCAAAACCGCTCTTCTCGTTGATTGCTTCCATGACATTCTGTGTTTCTTTGTGATCGAACTCATTCTATGCGCCAGTTTTAGAGAGAGAGAGAGAAAGAGGAATCGACGACAACGAAGAAGAAGAAGAAGAAGAAGAAGAAGAAGAAGAAGAAGCTTTTACGACTGTTCGTTTCTTAGGCTGAATAGAACTCGAGGACTCATAGTTTAAGTAACGATAAAATAACTGATTGCCCCTCTTGTTTCTTTTTACTACGAAAATACCATTCAGGATTTTCATTTGTCGTTTTGCGATCTTTTTATGCGGTTTTTAAATGACAAATTAATTTCTTATTTTAGAAAATATGTTCTTTTTGATAATTCCGTAGCCCTTTTCTTGGATATTATTTAATTCACGAAAGTCATTTTAAAGCCTGTATGAATGGAATATTTGGAAGATGCCTTTTTCTTTTCTTTTCTTTTCCTTCCTTTGGGTCAATTCTTATAATATTTAAAACACAAATTAAAATTTTATTTTGAACATAAAAATTCTTTTATTGCTACATTTCAAAATTTTAAGGATTAAAAAAAAAATATATAGGCCTTAGTGAAATGAACCAAAATAAATAAATATAATTACATTTGAAAAAATTAATAATTAATAAAATTAATTTTGAATATAATCAAAGTAAACAAATTTTTTATTTAGAATAACCTTGAAAAATGTAATTGTAATAAGTTTCCTTTGATTTGATGGAAATAATAATTAAAAAAAAAACAAATTCATTTAATGAATTGATAAACTATTGAATGATAGGAGTCCTTTGACTGTACTCTTTTAAACTTATATTTGAAAAATATTATTTTTCTTTAATTTTCAATCATTTGAATAAATACTTTTGTTTCTATGTTTTTATCTACTTCTTCTATATATTAACTTTAAAATATAATTTATTTGGATTAAATTATTGTTTAAAATAAAATACATAAAGAAAGTCGAAATATTCAAAAAAATTATTTGTAATTTTGATGGAAAATAAATAATAAAGAAAAAAAAAATAATAATAACAACAAAGAAGAGCGGGAACAAGGCACAACTTGCGAGCGTCAAAGCCAAAGCCTGCTCCTCTGTAACGCCACATGCAAAGGCATGAAACCAGGACCTTTTAGTTTTTATGTTTCCCAAAATACCCCCACCAGTATATTTTCAAACTCATCATTATTAAAAAAAATTGAAAATAATAAATTTTATCGCTGCACTTTTCACATTTAAATCCATTAAAACTCTAAACTATGTATTTGAATTTTAAAATTTTCTAAGTAAATAAATCGTTTTTGTTTACTTCACTCCATTTTATTTTAAATTAAAATTTTAAATCATTTAAATAAAATTATTCTTATATAAAAACTTTTAAATTGCTAATTTTATGTTTAAGCAACCCTTTTTCAAATATTAAATACATTCAAATTTTAAAGATTTGTTACATATTTTTTTAATTTACAATTTTTTTAAATATTTGTTTGATAATGCTCCAAATTTAGACGGTTAAGTTTAGAGATATATTTTATATATATTAGCAACAACCCAGACTTACTGATAGTAGATGTTGTCCATTTTAACTCGTTATATATTATCGTCAGGCTCACGGTTTTAAAAACATATGATAGAGAGAGGTTTTCACCTCTTTATAAAGGATGTTTTGTTTTTCTCTCCAACGTAGGATCTGACACGCACGTATATAATTTATTTATATTATTCAGTGAGAGGGTTAGAGTGTGAATAAAGAAAGAAGGGTAAAAAAGGAAATACGAAAAAGGGGAAGATAAGGAGATGAGTGAAAGAGGGGATTCGATATTAGGGGGAGAAGGGGTGTGGCTCCCCTAAAGGATGCATGTGGAGGTGCTATGGGCCAACACACACACACACACATAGCAAATGGGATATAACTAACTAAGCCTAGAGAGAGAGAGAGAGAGGCACATGGGAAAGCACATGGCAAATAATACATAAAATTAATAATAAAAATAAATAATAAAGTAAGGGAGTGTTTGGATGCTAGCTTTTAAGAGAGGGGCTTATGCATGTGACAATGTCCAAGCGAGAGACACTAAAGCAGCATCAAATGTACGCCATGTTCTGCACATTCCCTGCATCCAAACACCCCTTTTCCCCCTTTTCCTTTTATTTCTTTTTAATTATAATTATAATTTGCGTTTTTTTTCTTTAAATTATTTGATTTTTGGCACATGCTTACACACTTGGAATTCATGCCTTCTTTTCTCTCTATCCACCATGTGACACACGTGTAAACCCCCCATGTGGTCTCATTCGTTCATTATCATAATACCATTCTTTTTAGACTACTAGGTTTTTTATTTTATATTTTAGCTAATCATACTAAACAAACATGAAATTAATCGAATTAATCATAATATAAAATTCAAAATTCTTGGTTATATTAATAATTTTTTATTATTTGTAACCGCATATTTACCATACACAAATAAATAAAAACATAATTCAAAATTCATATTACTGGAAATAAATAATTTTTTATTTTTTATTTTTCAATTTTCTTCCTCAGGTGAGAGAGAGGTTTTAAATTATAGTCCACAATGGGCGTGGCAGCAATGATGAAAAGGAAATGATGCTAAAGCTGTGTGGATTGGATTCATTCAAAATCTGGGCTAAAGCTTTGAGAAAGTAAATATATATATATGATGATGATTAAACCTTTTTTAAAAATTTAATTTCAGTACTAAATTTTACTTTCTTATTATATTTTATTAATCTTGAATAATATTTTTGTTTTGTGACAAGACAGACCTACGCCTACGTGGAAAAGTTAAACCGTCATCATTGTCTAAAAGTCATTTTGGTAACTAAAAGATGATTGGAATGAATAATATTCTTTTTTATAATAATTTAATTTAATTTTTAATAAAGATGGTAGTTATGATTTAGTATAGATATTTATGGAATTTTTGTGGAGTTGATGACCTAATATATACTCGTATGATCAAAGAGGTGGAACATGTCCTTAGACTACATCAAATAAAGTCTCGTTTATCGGCTGCAATGCTAAACAAATGATTGGGTTATAGTGTCAAATAGTTAAAGCTCTCGTACTATTAAGACGTGCAAGATATGTAGTAGTTGAAGCTCTCGTGATCAAATTCTACGAGTTTCTTAATAATCATTAGGTCAAATAACTATTTCGTTAGATTAGTTGATGTGTACGTATGTTGACCTAAACATATGGATATATATTTAACAAACAAAAATTAGAAATTTGAACCTCGAAATAGTTTTGGAAAAGATTTTTATTTCTTGAGCGGGTCGATAAAAAAGAGGGTTGATTGCGATGTGCATGTGTGGATTTCAGAGCCCTAAAGCTTTGCCCTAAACCAAAAATAGATTAGGTCATATGTGAGGATGAAAATTTGGTTGGTAAAACAATAGTTTGCGACTTTGAGAAAATTTGATGTAACCTTTCATATTCCTTTTTTTTTTTCCAAATGCTTTATTCCTTTTGTTTGTTGGTTGACAGAAGGTTTGCAATTATATTAAAAGCCCATGGGCCACTGTCCCTTTTGGTTTTAAGCCCATGGGCCCTACTTGCTTTGTCTACATCCACTATTTTTATTTTTATTTTATATTTTAAAATTTCCAAATTTTGCCGTTAATTATTTGGACTCCACCACTTTGTTTTTGTAGGCAATCCATGACAAATCCTAGAAATAGTACCGTTGGTTCTTTAGTTCTGATAGTCTTCCACTATTCAATTGATGTAAGATCTCACAATTTACTTTTTTGAAGGCCCAACATCTTCGCTGATCCAATCTTATTACTATCAAATATTGTCTGGTTTGACCTATTACGTATCGTCGTGAAGCTACTAGAGATGTATTGTTCCCCTTTCTAACTATCTTTTCATCATTTTATTTTTATTTTTGTTAAGATTTAGGGTTCGTTAATAAAATTCATCGCGAATACTTTGAGTGAAAGAGTAAAGTGAGAGGACAACTCCCTCCTCGTTTGGTCGAGTGAATATTTAATTACTTCTATCGTTATTTCACGTTGTAAAATTAATTATTATCAGTTTTAGTTCACAAAAAAGAAAAATAATTAAAATACCATAAATTAAATTAAAAAAACATGAAAATCAATATGAAAAGCCCAATAATGATATGGATCCATCAAAATCAGCCCAATTAAAAAATAGACAAAATAGCCCAAATCAGTCCAAAATTACCACTAGAACCATAGATCAAACAATATATGTATATATATAACTAAAATATTAAATATATACACAACCACTCACTAATTGATTAAAAAAGAATACAATTTCTTCAAAAGTACTATTAATAACATTTATTCACTCGAATATAAAAATATAAAAATAAACTTAATTAATAATGTTTTTTTTTAAATATTACGTATTATATTTATACATTTTATAAAAAAAACAGCTAAATTTAGCTCTCTTTTTTTAAATTTATAAATCTCATCAATTTAATTCTAAAATATGTTTGATTATTTAATAAACTCAAGTATGGAAATTTTTAAATAAACGTTTTTAAGTTAGAAGTAAATATTGTAATAGTTATTAAAGTTGGGATAAAGTAATTTATTTTCTGTTTTTTTTTTTTTGTAATTTATAAAAGAAAAAGTATAAACCAATAAAAAGAAGCCACGTAAACAAAATTAGTTATTACAAGAAGTAGCATATAGTTTAGATGGGTAGTTGAATTGGCTTTTGTTTAAGCGTTCAGTGGCAGGTCGAGAGTAGACGCGAAACCCAACACATTTATCATCTTTTTTTTTTTTCTTTTTTTTTTCTCTCTTAATTATTAGCAAATTCCCCAAATTAACCCGAAATAAAAATCCCCCAAAATTCCAATTTTCCCCGTAAACACAATTTCCCCGCCATTTGCTTCCCTTCATTTCTCTCTCTTCCCCTATCGCTAGGGCTCCGTCTTCCTCTCTCTTTCTCTCTCCTCTGGTCCTCTGTAAACTGTGCTCCGGCTTACGAATTCGACCACGATTTCCATTTCTTCTAGCTTTGGACTCTTCATGCTCTTGCTGTGTGGATCGTGCTCTCTCCGGTTCTCTTAACGATGAGTTTGCCGCCGTTCGCTTCTGCCTCTGCCTCTGGCTCCGGTCTCCGTGGTATCGGCTTGTCCAATACTATTCACTCCGAGGTTGCTCCTTGCTTGCCTTTGCCTTCGCTTCCGGTTTCCTTCGGTGCTTCCGAGCCTGAGCTTCGACTCTTCGATGAGCCGGCTGGGAGCTATGCTACTTTGAGGAGTGATGTTCTCGCTCAGTCTAAGAAGATCGCTGATCTGCTTCGTGCTACTGACGTGTCTTACTTGTGAGTTCTTAATTTTGAAATTCAGTTCTGGTAATTCGAAATTTGTGATTCTTCAGCTCGGTTGACTGAATTTCAGTTCAGCCTCAACGGAATTTTCATGCGTTTTATTTATTTATTTTTTATTTTACCGTTGATTGAGAATTATTCTTTCTCGCGGTTTCTTTTAATTCTGTAATGCGACCAGTGTTTCGCTTAGTGTTGGAGTTTGATGTCGGCATTGTTGAAGTTGGAACTACAAGATTAGTGCGAATGGCAGCAGTTATAGTCTGTAAATTTAAAATTTTTTAACCGCGTACTGTATTAGCAATATTAACTGAGAATTTCGGATTAGTGAAGATAATCGCGGTTACTACTTGGATTTCATTCATAGTCTACTAATTTTAATATGTAGTAGTTGATTCTGCTGTAGAGTTGCATGTAAAGCGCCTGTCCTTTCATTATCTCATCTTTTAATCGTGGAAGTCTGTAGGTGACTAGGCATCGTAGTTAGTTAATCACAGAAGATTTAACTCTTGCCTAGTGCAGAATGCTCATATTTCATGAATCCTGCATGCCATGGTCCTTGCGTTATGTTTTACCTCGCAGTATTTAGTAATGCGAAGGTGTTTGATATTTGTCAAGTAACTAGAGTTTACTGAATTGTGCTGTACACTGACTCCTTCTTCGGCTTTGTGATTCCTCATCTCTAAAGCCTTTAGGTTGATGTTTTCTTTTCTTTTTGCAGCCTAATATAGTTTATCTCTTTCATATAAACTTTTAAAAAACAGTTGCTTGCCATACTGTTCTTTCCAAATTTTATTTGATTTTATCATTCACTTTGATGCAATCAACAGAAATCTCAGAGAAGATGCCAAAGTTCTTCCTGAAGGGTCTGTGGAGCCTTTTGAACTCTATGAGGAAGTTCTTCGCTATGATGTTGATGCCTTCAAGTATATTACTCCAGGTAAACGAAGTCTTGAAATGCTTTTCCTCATTGTTTAACGGAAATATTAGTGAGTTACATTGCCTATTATCTTATCAGATTTTGAAAACCTAATTTGAGGAACACAAACTATTTTATTCCGTTTCTCCAAAGTAATGAAGAAGCTTTTGAATCTCTTATTCTGATTGGTGTGAAATTATCACTTTTTGTAATGCATAAATAGCTCTATTGGTCAAGTATATGCTGGTTGGAAACTTGGAAACTTTGAAAGATAGTTATCTTCTTTTAGTTCTTTTGTATTAGTGTGCATCATCCTGCTTCTTGGTGATGACCAAGCTCTAGAAACATTCTTTATAACTATAATCTTCTAATGATTTAATTATTGAAAGACTCTTCTATTGTAGTTTCTTGGGGGGCTTCTCTCTACCCCCCGCTCCTAAATTGTTCTTGGTTGTTTGTCTTTTGGAATATATTATTTTGTTTCTTATTAAAAAAATTAATTTTTGAGTCATGCAAACCAGGAATCCGAGACCTTCAGGTTAAACTTTTTTTTTTTCAATGACTATTATGTTCTTGCTGGCATAGGCATATTAAGTATCATAACATAGTAAAAATATATTACATTTGGGAAAAAGGTTACAAATGATTATGAAAATAGAAAAAGTAGGAACGAAAATATTTTAATGCTATGCCATTTAGAAATATGCAATTTGCTCCATCATCTTTATATGTACCTTTGGTTGGTTTTCCAAAATCATTTATTTTTGAACTTACTGTCTATTGTGCTGTTCAAGTTTCTCAGGTCCTATTATGGAGCACGTCTCTAGCAGTATGGTATCTGATAGGAAAGTTTTTGAGCAAAAGCTACCTATTAGAAGTCAGGTTGAAGGAGAATCTAGAACAATTCAAAATCATAAGCCTGAATCTATGCCAACTAATGTATGCAGGCAGTAGGATTTCCAGTTTCTTTATTTTATTACTTGTGCTTTGCTAACCCTGGCTATAAAATTGGACAGGATGCACCAATATCATCTTCTAGAAAAGTAAAAGTTAAGAAGAAAGGCAGAGATGAAATGTCTTCTGTTAGAACAGATTCTTCTGAGCTTCAAGGTTGTTCCAGCCATTTTTTGGAAAGAAAAGCTGCACCATATTTCACCTTACAAGTTTTGATCTTCATTTTTCATGGACTAAATATTACTTTGAATATTGTAGACACCACCCTCGCAAACTTTTGCAAGTTCTTAGAGGACTTCTGTGGCAGAGCTGAAATTATCAGTGATGATCGTGATGAATCAGAGTGGCTGGCTCTGCCTCTTACTGATCTAAGAGTGCTTGTCAATGAAATAATGTCCATTCGTTCAAAGAAACTTCTTCATTTGGTTTCTCTAGATAGCCTGACAAGGCTGTTGAAGGTTTTAGATCATCAGATACATAGAGCAGAAGGATTGTCTGTTGAAGAATGTGAACATGTGAGTCTGCTACTTTTGCTTTATGGTTTTTCACTGTTCTAGCATATGCATTTTGTAATTTTGCTATTCTTATTCTCAATTACTGCTTGTTCCTATGTACTTGAACTGTGATGGTGAAGTAAATCAGTGTTGATTGAGTTCTTGAATTGAAGTCCATTTGCCATTAGCTGGATGCGTAGTTTTTAATTCTATGAAAAAAGTAAATATCTTTTGTCTTATGCAGTCACTTCAAATCATTGATGTGTTTTGATCCTTCTGTTTCTGGGTTCTGTTATTGAAGTATAAGGTTCCAGTAAACCATAAATGTTTTTCTTGGTTTTATGCATTTATTTGATTTAAATCACCAATAAACAGTTACTGCCTGTCTAATGTCGGGTTATATGACAAATATAATGTTCCTTATGACAAGACTAGGCCGATATGTGGATGTCAGGGTCCATGTCATCTATAGAAAAACAGAGATACAATCATGTTACATTCTTGTTCTAAAAGCATATATCTACTCAGGTTATTCAGTTGTCACCATATGCAGCCAACTTGTGCAATGCTGAAAATATAAAGCTGTGTCATTCTGTAACCCTCGTATCTTTACATGATTGTAGTTTGGCCTTCCTGAGTTCACTTTATACTTGCCAAACGTTTTTATATTCAAAGAGAAAGAAGGTCATCCTAGGGGCCAGTGTAGAGATAACTTCTACCAAAGAGACTATAAAGTATTGTCTTCCAATCTGTCAAAGTCAAAAGAATGATGTAATTACAAAAGAATTTAGTTTGATTTAAACACCATCGAGAAGCTAAGTTTTGCACTTATCACCAAAAAAAAAAAAAAAAAAAAGAGAGAGAGAGAGAGTGAGAAAGAAAATAAAAAGAAGATATCTTATCTTCAAAGGGTCCTTTGGTACTATTCTTTCCAAATCAGCAATAAGAGAGCTCTAACCATGCAGTTCCATAAAAGCTTTGCCTTACCTCTAAGGCTCCAACGTGAGAAAGCTTCTACCAACCAATCTTCTGCCCTCCTAGGGAGGCAAAGCTCTAATCCCATGTTATTTATAAATAAAACACCACCCATGAAAAAGACTGTGAAGAGAAAGGTGGTCTAACATTTCTTCCTTCTTGTAGTGCGGACAGCAAATCGATGGGAACAAGGACCATCCAGAGAATTTCTTTTGAATTTGGGCATGGATATTCAAACTTCTATAGGCCAATGACCACATGAACATTTTGGCCCTTTTTGGATATTTGAAATTCCAAACTAGATCCACCAAAGGAGCCTTCAAATGAACAAGCTTTTGAACTAAGTGGGGGAAAAACAGATTTAGTTGAGAATAAGATGTTAGCGGATTAGCCTTAAGTTGGGAGATATTTGTGTAATTCATGAGTTAGCTCAAAAGCTAAGTTTAGTGACTTTAAAACTTCAAAGTAGCACTTCAACTTGGTAGTACCAACTACAAAATAACAGGAGATATTAAGGAAAACAACCCATCAAAATATGGCCGAAAATTCTTGTTTAATGAAGAAACGATTCCTTCCACTCGACTATGAACAAATACTTTACAATCAATCAACAATGCAAACAAGATGGGCTTTGTATTCTTGATTACATGTTGGAGTCTCATCGCTTCAGAGCCAAAGTGGCCAACTAGTGGCTTTAAAGATGACATCAAATTAGTGGCCAACTTACACCCACTAGCCTATCTAGTAGATGCTATTACTTTAGCAACCAAGATCAAAGAATATGGTGGGTTCAAACCAGTTAGAACGTTGAAGAAATTCATGGGCTAAACAACAACAAAATTCAAGAAAGACTGCAAATGATTCCACAAAAAAATTTCTTTAAGGGAGTTCTTCCTTATCTTTTCAACAGACCAAGAAAGATGAAAATCAAGCCAAGAGTTTCACAACTAACAAAGTTTTGGATAACTCATTGAGAGTTCGACCCTGTCAAACGTACCTCCTCTTTTAATGCTCAAATCCCAAGATTGATGTTCCATATTCCGAAAACTGGTGGCTCCTTTTTTAGTTGAAAGAACGAAAATATCCGGGTAAAGATGAGCCAAAGTATGAGGCCCGATCCACCTATCCTCCCCAAACCAAATTCTTTTGCCAGACCCTGCCCTGAAGTTCAAGAATTGGATTAAAAAAACCTGCTGTCTTTCCCAACCTCAGGCCATAAACTTAACCTTTTAACTTTCTTCCCAGCCTTTGTGGCCCAGCCAAGATGATCCAGTCTGTAAATACTGACTATTCTCTGGCTCATGGGGTGTTTTCCACTTGTGTAAATCTCAACAGCTATTTCATGAGGAGAGCTAAGTTTCTTTGTTAAAGGTATCCCACTTCTAGGCCTCTAAATTGAATCATAAGGCATGTTTTCTCCCATTGAACTTTCCTCAGTTCCAAATAAAAATTTGGGCGAAGATCAATTTATACCTTTAAACAATGGGGGTTGTATCAATCAAAACCTCAAACTAATAATGGTATAAATTTAGTTTATGAACTTTTTACAAGTATATCTATTTACACCCTCTCTCAGATTTTGTTTGACAAAATGTTAGTTTGAAGATTTGAAGAAGGGCACCTTTTAAAGCAAGAATTATAAGAAAAAAGGGTGTGCAAGTCTAGCCTTATTTGTGTTAGTGCAATTTTTTTTTGGGGGGCTCAGAAGATGTGGCATTGGCCTACATCCTTGGGTTGGTTGATGATGCATCTCCCCCTCCCCATTTGTATTTTTTGGTTCTTATGCAGGCGAACTTTTGTAAAAAAAAAATGTACAATTTAATTTGGTGCTATGGTGGTTAAGGAGCTATCTTTTATATGAAATATGTATATGGTGTAAGTAATTGTTCTTCCCTTTATTTCATGGGAACTGTTTTCTTTTGTGGCCTGAGTTTTTTGGAATAGAAAGTGACTTCTACTCTGATTGGTTTCTGCCATTGCTTTATAATTTCTGTAGCTTAATTCAGATTATCTTTTCCCCTTCATATTTCAGTTAGATTCAGATGCAGTTGCAACTATCTTTTGTGCTTTGGAGTCCATACATGCATCTCTTGCAGTAATGGCTCATGACCAAATGCCAAAGTTGCTTTATAAAGAAGAGGTTTGTTTTTTTAGTTGCTTGCATTGTTCTAATCCTGATTAGCATTTTGCTGTGTATCAAGTATTTTGCTTATTCTGACATGATTGTTATAGGAAGCTTGAAAGTGTGATGTAAGCGTGCTTCACTCTTAAGCTATGTCAGGCTCCTCAATGTGTTGAGAGTAGTATGGATTTCTCTTGAGTTTTTTTCCCCACCTTTCTTAAGTTTGACACTTTTTTTTTTCAATAAACGAAGGAAAGGAAAATTTAAACAAAAAGTTGTTGGTTTCTTTCTCAACCCTCTTATCCAAAGTTTACCATTTCGCTCTCCAATAGATGTGGATGTGGAGGAACATGGAAATAAGATTAAACTAGGGCTATGAGTCTAACTATGTATGGGAAAATAGAGATGAGAACTTATTTTGCGGTGATGGGTTTTAATTTTTAGGCTTTTGATATGTGATTTTGTGTTTGTTCTGAACTTTTGTGTCTTTATTAGTTAATCCTTTATTTTCACTATTTCATACTTCATGCTAATTTCTAATATCATATAAACTATATAAACTCTATATACTGTGCATTTTATTTTGTTGGAGCTCTTAACTTATTTTTAAAACTGTAAATAATCCTCCAAAGGGACTATTACGCTTTAGTGCACTTTATACTTTTTGAAATGTTGCTGACAATATATGTAATCCATTGATGATGAATTATTGATTATAGTTCTTTTTCTTATCAGATCATAGAGAGAATTCTGGAGTTCTCCCGGCATCACATAATGGATATTATGTGTGCTTATGATCCTTCATATCGTGCGTTGCATAAAGCCAGTGAAAATGGTGTGTTTGAAGGTCAGTAATTTAATTTAGATAGAAGATATTTGGTGTATATTTTTTTTCGTCCCTAAGAAATTTGGATGTAGAATTATAAAAGATTTCTGGAGTTCTTTGGACTCCAGATCGTGATTGGAGTAGAAATGAATTTGTGGCTTTCATTCTTTGAAATTATTGACATTGGAATTTGCACTTAATAGATTGTTGATGATGTGTTTTTTTTTCCTTTTTTGGAACATTTTATTTTAGTAAATCTCTGTGGAAATCTGATACTTGTTTCCACCTTTGTATCATACGTTTTTAGGGCAAGGATGTGCCGATGTATATCATTTGTGTAGTAGTTCTGGTGAACATGTTCTAAGTCTCTAATTGTATTCTATCCTTTGCTTCTGAAATTAAAAAGGAAAAAGGTCACGAGTATGTCTTTTGTTAACAATACCTTACAGATGAACTATGATCAGTTCCATTACATTTTTTTGATTTTCCAGTCAATGAAGATGAAGAACTTGATGGTGACTATGGTTCATCGAGTAAGAAGCGTCGTGGTGTTAAGACTTCTAAAATCAGGAAACCTACATTCAACAAGTGTGCCTATCATATTCTGCCCCTTTAGCATTGAACATTACAATGAATTTTAATGAATTTTAATGAGTAATACAGATATTTTTTTTGCTTTGACAGGGTATCTACTGCTGTTAATACTATTCTTCAGAAGATGTGCACCATTCTTGGTTTACTTAAGGATTTATTGCTGATAGAGAGGTTACCAGATAGCTGTATTCTTCAATTAGTGAAAACAAGCTTTTCTACTTTTTTGGTGGACAATATTCAGCTCTTGCAACTTAAGGCAATTGGTTTAATTTGTGGGGTATGGATTTCTGCTTCTCTTTCTGCAAGATATGCCGTTGTCTGGTTTTAGATAGATTTGAATGCAATTGGTTGCTACTATTTAAATCTTCTGATGATACATTCAAACTTGGTGCAGATATATTATTCGTATACACAACATCGTAATTATTTGATAGATGAATTAGTTCAGATGCTCTTCAAATTACCATCCACGAAGCGGGCTTTAAGAGCGTATCACTTACCTGATGAAGAACAACGGCAAATTCAAATGATTTCTGCCCTATTGATTCAACTGGTACATTATAGTGCAAACCTTCCTGAAGCTTTGAGGCAAGCATCAGACAGTAAATCCATCCTTGAAGTTTCAGTTGATAGTAGTTGTCCTACCAAATGCCATGAAACAGCTACGGAGGCATGCTGTCTTTTCTGGACTCGTGTACTACAGCGCTTTGCTAATGTGAAGACTCAGGATGCATCTGAAGTGAAAGTAATGATGGAAAATATGGTTTTGGATCTACTAACAACATTAAATTTACCCGAATATCCTGCATCAGCCCCTATTTTGGAGGTAGTGATCTTTCAATTCAAATTCTTTATAATTGGAAAAAAAAAAAAAAAAAAAAAATTCTCATCCTTTTATATTTTTAGAATCATCATTCAAATCCTAAGGCATGTTCATTTGCAGGTTCTATGTGTGTTATTACTTCAGAATGCTGGACTGAAATCTAAAGATGTCTCTGCTCGTTCTATGGCCATTGACTTTCTTGGCATGATTGCTGCAAGATTGAAACGTGATGCTGTCATTTGTGCCACAGACAAGTTTTGGATATTGCAAGAGTTGGGCAATAAGGAGGATGTTGCTGATGAGAGTTATCCTAAAGATGTCTGTTCTATATGCTTGGATGGCAGGGTAGGAAAGTATTTCTTTGTCTGTCAAGATTGCCAGAGGTTGTTTCATGCAGATTGCATTGGAGGAAGGGAAAATGAAGTTCCTAACCGGAGCTGGTACTGTCAAATTTGCCACTCGAGGAAACAACTTCAGGTATTACAATCATATTGCAAATCCCAATGTAAAAATGATGGTGAGAAGAGCAAAGATTGGTCAGATAAAGAATCCAAAGTTTCGTGGCTTGTCACAAACATTGAAATTGTTCAGCAGTTGCTTCTGAATTATCTCCAGGAAGTTGGTTCTTCAGATGATGTTCATCTATTTGTTCGCTGGTTTGTATGGTTTTGACCCCCTTATTTTGTTGTTAATTTATTTTATTGTATTTTTTATTTTCTTGTTAGAAGCTTGCTATCGCTCTGATATAAATGCACATATTGTAGGTTTTATCTCTGCCTGTGGTACAAAGATGATTCAAAAGCTGAGCAGAAGTTTATTTACTATCTCTCTAGATTGAAATCTATGGCAATAGTGAGGGACGGTGGCAATACTTCCTCATTATTGACTAGGGATTCAGTTAAGAAAATCACTCTCGCACTAGGACAAAATAATTCCTTCTCTAGAGGTTTTGATAAGATCCTTCACATGCTTCTGGTTAGTTAACTTTTTGTTTTGTTTTGTTTTCCTGTTGATTTTATTTATAGATGTCTGATGTACGACTGAAACTCTGATAACATAATTGTCCTCATCCAGGCAAGTTTAAGGGAAAATTCTCCGGTAATTAGAGCCAAGGCTTTACGAGCGGTTATACTCTTCACCCCTTTATTTTATTTGTATATTATTTTAACATATCATTGTATCTTAAACTGTACTTATGTTTTATCTATTTAATGAAGCAGGTCAGTATTATAGTTGAAGCTGATCCAGAGGTATTGGGAGACAAACGTGTCCAATTGGCTGTTGAAGGAAGGTTTTGCGATTCTGCAATATCTGTCAGAGAAGCAGCTTTGGAACTTGTTGGCAGGCATATTGCCTCCCATCCTGATCTTGGTTTCAAGGTCTGCGTAATTGCATTTTTTAATTCTCATTCTATGACATGATTATCTTTAATCTCTCATTCCTTTGCTCCCAACAATGTGTTTGATTTGCAGTATTTTGATAAGATTGCTGAGAGAACCAAAGATACTGGAGTTAGTGTGAGGAAACGTGCCATCAAAATCATTCGAGATATGTGCACATCAAATGCAAACTTCTCGGAATTTACCAGGGCATGCATAGAGATAATCTCTCGAGTTGGTGATGATGAATCAAGTATTCAGGTAGGTCTAAATCAAGTGCATTTCATTGATGACTGCTCTCCTTAAATTAAATTCCATTTGCCAGTATTTCACATACTATGTTTCCTGCATAATTTGCTGTCAATATTAGTTTCTTCCTCAATTGCATTGAACTGATACCTCGTTCCCTTGTTCTATTCTATGAATAAATAGATAGTTGAGAGAATTGAAATTGTCCAAGTTTCATGTGTTTTGGGTATTCCTTTCTTTAAAACTATAACTAAACTCTTTCTAAGCCACAAAAAGTCCTTTTACTAAAGTAGGAGATGCATAAATCTGATATAAAAAATATATATGATGGGATTTATTTGCATGACATTTTTTTAATGAGATTTTGTAACCTTCTGGCTCACAAACTCAGTTCTTCTCGTCTAATATTAGATTATGCAACAAAGATTCCTTTTACTGAAATGGGAGGTGCCTAAAACTGATTATATGGAAGTTATTGTCTTGTTTTAACCGGGCATCTGAATGTTTCCTCTTTATACTTGTGATGCATAGGATCTCGTTTGTAAGACATTTTATGAGTTCTGGTTTGAGGAGCCTTCTGGTTCACAAACTCAGTTCTTTGGAGATGATAGCTCTGTTCCATTGGAGATCGCCAAGAAAACCGAGCAAATTGTTGAAATATTGAGGAAAATGCCAAATCATCAACTACTTGTGACAATTATTAAGAGAAACTTAGCACTTGATTTTTTCCCACAATCAACTAAGGCTGTTGGCATCAACCCTGTTTCCCTCACCTCAGTTCGCAAGCGATGTGAGTTGATGTGTAAGTGCTTATTGGAAAGGATATTGCAGGTAAGACTGTTCCTTCCCATTTTCTTTAATTGCTGGTTCCTTATGGTTTTTTTTATCGATCATTTACATTAAAAGTTGCCTCTCAGGTGGAGGAGAGAAGTAATATGGACACCGAGGTGCGTGCACTTCCATATGTATTGGTCTTGCATGCATTTTGTGTTGTGGATCCAATGCTCTGTGCACCTGCCTCCAACCCATCCCAGTTTGTGGTTACTCTCCAACCTTACCTTAAGACCCAGGTTACTGCCTTTCTTTTCATTAGGATATAAACTCCTTTTCTCATTACTATATATATATATATCTACGATGAATTCACTTGTAAACTTAATTCTTAGGTATGACGAATTGATTTCTTACCTATGTCACAAATTTTTTGTTAGTATCATCTATAATCATAATAATAGATGTCAACAATTTGATTAAATAACGTAATTTCTCATAAATTGCATGAACCATCAAATTTAGACAACAAAAATAGAATTATCAGATTAATCTATGACTTCTGAAAAAAGTAATATTCAATAAAAAGCTGAAAGACACGTTGAGTTCTAATTTTCTAACATTATAGTTTATTGAATATTTGTCTAAAAAGATATATTTGAATAATAATTTTATTTTAAGAAATAATTTCACAGATAATATAGAATTACAAAAGATGGGAGAGGAAAGTTGAGCCCCATGCAAAGGAAAATATTCAAAATAATAACAAAATTATTATATCTAAAATGCTAAAGCCCACATTCATATATGATCAATATATAACTTATCATTATTTTTTGTAGCATTATAGATTCTTTTACCACGATTCATAATTTTACATACTTAGGGAGAAAAATAATACTCATGTTTGATTTTGAATGCAACAGAATAAAATGCTCCTCAACTTTCTAATGTTGGTGGTATAGTAAAAACAATAATGTTTTCTTTTTTGGGGTAAGGTAATAATGATAATGCGAACACCTTCTAAAAGTTGCTGGGGGAAAAATTGTAAGCTTTTTTTTTTTTTTTGGAAACATGATGTTATGCTCGGTAAAAGAACTTAAAAAATGAATTTTATAGTTTGAAAAACAATAATTGGAAGTTAAGATGGTTTTCCTGAAAATTGATGTCTTGAATAGACCAATTTATTTTACAAATCAATTTGGATCTAGGTAGGTAACTTCTCTTATTAGTTTATGGGAGTGTTCATGTTTTGGTGGTCTAGGTCTTCCCCTTTTTAATTTACTTCAGCAAACACAAACATCAGATATTAAGTCCATTAGTTTCTCATTGAGATCACATTTTTTTTAAACATCCATGTTCTTAATTCAGAAATAAATGTGAGGTTGCCTACTCCTTAACTTACTTAATATTGTTGTTAGGTTGATAATCGAGTGGTTGCTCAATTACTTGAGAGTATCATATTCATAATTGATGCGGTTCTGCCCTTGCTACGGAAGTTATCTCCAAATGTTTCTGAAGACCTAGAGCAAGACTTGAAACACATGATTGTTAGGCACTCCTTCTTGACAGTCGTACATGCTTGCATAAAGTACTTATTCTCTTTCTCCAGTTCTGTGCTTTTCTCTTATTTGCATCACATATATCATTGCTTAACAGTGTTATGTAGTTATCTACTTATCTTACCTTGTGCATAATTGGATTATGTGGTGTGGACTTTATCTGCAACTCAGATTTTGTGAGGGACTAATTCTTTTTCCCTATCCACAGGTGCCTTTGCTCTTTGAGTAAGGTAGCAGGTAAAGGTGCATCGGTTGTTGGGTATCTTATTCAGGCGTTTTTCAAACGCTTGGATTCTCTAGGGATTGATAACAAACAGGTTAGATTTTTTTTGGTATATTGGTATAGCTTTTTCTGAGCAACAAGAAAAGCCTAGTTTGGAGAGAGAAAGCTTGGAATCTTGAGTATTGATTATGATTGATGCATGTGACAACGGACAAGAGAAATTTTGATTTGGATTTAATTAAGTTCACCTTTTGGGTATTTATATATGAGCTATTAAATTTAAGTACCTCGCAGAATTTTGATTTATTTGTTAGGCACTTCTAGTTTGTTTTTTTCTTACATAGTTTTTTTCCTCGTTTGTACTTTCTTGTTTAGGGCTAGTGAACTGCCATGTCTCTTTAAGTATTGATTGGGATGAATTTCAGGATCTATCACATTGTCACTGTAGATTGCATGGTTGCGATTGAAGTGCTACTAGTCATTCCTGCATTGCCGTTGCCTTTCTTTTTGATCATTGATTATTATTCATTACATTTCGTGTTTAGTTTAATCAAATTATTGAAGAATTGTTCTTCTAAATGTGATCTATATGCCATCATTTTATTACTTTGGCTATCAGAACAAACTTGATGAAGTTGGTTGGTACAATGTTAAGACATCAATTTGGATTGTGAAATTGCAGCTGCTAGGACGTTCACTCTTCTGTCTTGGATTACTTATTCGCTATGGTAGTCCTTTGTTGAGCAATTCCAGCAACAAGAATGTTGATGTCACAAAAAGTCTCAGCTTGTTGAAGAAGTACCTGGTGACGGAAGATTTGGTTATTAGGGTTAGAGCGCTGCAGGTATCCTCTCACTTGCATCCTTCTTCTTGAATTACTTTTTTCTGTTTACAATTGAGGCAAACTCTAATTCGTTATATACTATGTAGGCTTTGGGATTTGTTCTTATTGCTAGGCCTGAATTTATGCTGGAAGAAGATGTTGGGAAAATTGTAGAGGAAGCATTGTCATCTGGTTCTGATGTTCGTCTCAAGGTGAGTGAATAATTTTCTTTGGTTTCCTTGAGTGCCATGGGCGTACGTTTGAATTATTTTTCTGGGCAGATGCAAGCATTGCAAAATATGTATGATTACCTTCTTGATGCGGAAAGTCAAATGGGAACAGATCAACCAGATGATGGAGCTGCCCCTACTGCTGCTGTGGATGGTGGCCCAAGTGTACCAGTTGCTGCCGGTGCCGGAGATACCAACATATGTGGCGGTATTGTTCAGTTTTATTGGGAGAAGGTTCTAGGGAGAAGCCTAGATTTAAATGGCCAAGTTCGTCAAACTGCCCTCAAGGTAAAAAATAAAAAATAAAATAAAAAAATAAACCCGGTTTTATTTTCATGTTCTGTATCATAATTAAGTTTACTAGAAAGCTGTGTGTCAAACCGTTGTAATGTGGATGGCTGATTTAATATGTTCATGTTATTCATAGCCAAACTGAAAAACTGGGAAGATCTTTGGATATCAGTTTTTAATCTATAAGAAAGCATGATGACAGACAATTTGCTCCACGTCTGTGTTCATGAATGTGTGTTCGACCATTTATTCATTTTCCTGCACCGGGCCTGTTTCCTACCTTTTTGGTTAGTTGAGCATTATTGTCTTTTGCTATCTTTCCAATTCACAGATTGTGGAAGTGGTGCTTCGCCAAGGTCTTGTTCATCCTATTACTTGTGTTCCATACCTTATCGCACTAGAAACGGACCCCCATGAGGCAAATGCGAAGCTGGCTCACCACCTATTGATGAATATGAATGAGAAGTAATCCCCTAAACTCAACTTATTAATTTGTCAGCTTAAGCAATATTTATGCAATATAATTAATGCATCTCATGACCTTACTTGAACAGGATCTATTCTATGGGTTGTATAAATGTCTGAGTTCTAAAACTAATTAATGCATCTTTTTCCAGGTACCCAACATTTTTTGAAAGCCGCCTGGGGGATGGTCTTCAAATGTCATTTATGTTCATCCAAACTATTAGTCGTTCCGACAATGCAAATCAAAAAATTCAATCCAAGGGCTCTGGCAATTTGAAAGGCAGATCTGATGGCAGTTCGTTGACTCAAGCAAGACTTGGGGTTTCTCGAATTTACAAGCTCATACGGGGAAACCGAGTTTCGAGGAACAATTTTATATCCTCCATTGTGCGGAAGTTTGACAACCCACGCTTGAATGACTCAATGATACCTTTCCTTATGTGAGTCCAAATCCATTTATTTTCCCCCTACTTCAATATGATCTCTTGTTTAAAATTACCAACCCTTTCTCCCTTTTTTTTGTAGGTACTGTGCGGAAATACTTGCATTATTACCATTTACATTCCCCGACGAGCCCCTATATTTGATTCATGCTATTAATCGAATAATACAAGTAAGAGGTGGAGCACTTCAAGAAGAAATCAAAGAATTGGGCATGCATTTGGTGCAACGCAATCCCCAGAATTTTCATTATGAAAATGGAATGATTCAGCCGCAACAACCTGCTCTTTTTTCTGGTAATATAATTTTATCAGATATGAATGGGTCCGTGGAGCACGATCAGTCTCGCCCTTTTTGTGATTTTACATCGATGGATTTGAATCAGCAAATCCCACCAGAGTCAGTTGCGCATCATGAATTGAGCAATAATAATAATACATTGGAGGGAAAATTCCACAACATTTGCTCAGTGGACCAGTATAGCATCTCAAAAGATGACCTTCAGAAAATTCAGGTGATTTCAAACAGATAGTTTAATCATATAACTCTGCTCTCAAAAGTAACTCCAATTGGTCTTAATTTTTCTGTTACCCATTGCAGACAATGAGCCTGGCAGCTATTGCACTGCAACTTCTTTTGAAGCTAAAGAGACATTTAAAAATCATGTACAGCCTGAATGATGCTCGATGCCAGGTAAATGCTTGTTAATTGGTATTTATTCACAAAATAGACAACCATTCAATTGGCTCATGGTGTTCTGTTTCTTAAATTAGTCTTTCAATCCAAATGAACCACCAAAACCGGGAGAGTTTCTGTCCAAGCAGAATGTTCCTTTCGACATCAGCGACACATGCACCACTTTACCAACAACTTATCAAGAGTTTATGCAAAGATACCAGGTACGATCTAAACCAGTCCCTCGCAACCATCTTTTCACCACTCAAACAAGTCTCTTTCCCTTTCCCATGTTCCATTTATTCTCTCCCTCTCTCTTAATTTGCACAATTTTAACTCCACAGGATTTCAAGAGTACTCTTAGGGACGATGCATTCGATTATTCTGCATACACAGTGAACATCAAAAGGAAGCGACCAACCCCAAGAAAAGGACGGAAATCTACAATGGGTGGCGAGGACGAGGAGGAGGACGAGGATTGGAGTGGAGGCAGGAGGTTGGGTAGCAGTGGGAGGAAAGGTAGCTATAGCATCCGAGGAAGTAGGCAACGGTGATAGTTGGTGTAAGTAAAATGTAATGCATAGTTTAGGCTAACTTGTACATTAATCAAGTGAAATAGAATAGGGAGAGAGGATAGAGAATGACGGGAGAAGAAAGAAAAGGGTTTATTAGGCAATCGATTTGGAAACAGCCGATAGGAAAAAGTTGTGGAATAGTATAGGGGGCTCTCCAAAATAGCCAGTTTTTCTGTTGTTCCATAATCATGTAATTTGTTTTTGGTAATATCATATTGGTTGCATTCTTTTGTTAATTAAAATTCAGCACTTTCATTAAACATTAGTTTCCATAATTTTGCTTAGGAAATTTGTTGATACTAGTTGGAATGCTGCGTATGGCATTCTAATAAACAATATGCACTTTTGGATGTAAGTTTGGGAATGCCAATCATTAGTGATGCTGTCTCTCGTGGAGTGCTGTAAAAAGAATGTCGATTCCTTTTTTGTTCTATCCTTAACTTGAGTTTACTGTTATTTTCTCTGTTTCTTTATATTTCTTGTGTTCATATTTTCTGAATACATTGATACAACATCTCATCAGTGTGAACATATAATAATCAATAATAGTGATTGTGTAAATTGCTCAAAATTTACACATACTTACTGATCTTTGAATGAAGATTAGAATATTTTCAAAAACTTCAATTTATCCCAAAAAAAAAAAAAAAAAAAAAAAAAGAGAAGTTACTGTGACTTTCATGCTAGGAAATTACAATATGCATAAAGTCGAAATGACATCTGACTGATCGAGTATGATACATCATCAAGTAAACATCTTCCAGAGGTTTGTAAAATTTAAAACTTGGAACCTAAAATATTTATAAAAAAGAGGAGACGCAAAGGTTGTTCTGTTCTCTTGAAGGTCATTAAGGTGCGATCACAAGAAGTGGCTGCACACGAGAAGGTTTGGAAATTCAGATAAAATATAATACAATATAAAGCAAGGGTTCGGTACGGATACGATATCGTCGAGATCAAGAGAGGCTTACCGTGTCTACGCTAACTGGTTTGCCATCTTCAGCCAATATTTCAACTATGGTTCCAGATTTATCAGCCTGAAATTGAAAATAAAATAAGAAACTGAAGAGTGAGGATATGCATGAAAATGCTGGTTGGAGTGATGGGGAGATACAAACCTCAATCTCATTCATTAGCTTCATGGCTTCAATGATGCATATGATTTGTCCTTTCGGTACTTTATCTCCCACCTACACAAACAAATAAATGAAAAGTTTTTGAGTCGAAGACAATTCTTTTCCCCTTCATCTCTGCTCTTAATTCTCAAGTTACCTTCACAAATGGAGGTTCTCCCGGCGCAGGGCTTCGATAAAACGTTCCGGCCATCGGGCACTTCAAAGGCGGATGAGAACTACCCACTTTTGGTGCTGCAGAGGGAGAACTGGCCGCTGCGCGTGCAGGGGTGGGCGGAGGTGCAACCATGCTATGCGCTTGAGGTGGTGGCAGTGCCATGTATGGACTTGGTGCAGCTGCTGGTGCTGCTGCTAATGGCTGTAAAGCTTCTTTTTTTCTTATTATGATTTCGCAATCCCCTTGCTTCAGTTCCAGTTCCATGATGTCTCTTGAATCAACAAGTCTGCAGATAAAAGATTACGTAAAGATTCAATGATAAAAGATGTTTCTAGTCGAGATGACGACTCAGACGCTCAAACGTCAATTCCTTATTCACAATACGAACGAAAGTTACGCACTTGATAAGATCTGAAACTTGGCTCATGAAGGTCGATATTGACGACTCATCTGGAAGAGAATATTGATCTGGAACTCCAACTGCAGAGTCCATTTCTCCTCCGGATGGCGTGTTCCCGGGCATAGAGACGAGTGCAGGTGCAGAATTCGACGTTTTTCCAACAACCACCTGCAATAAACAAAGATACAAACATCTAAAAATCCATGAATGTATGTATTCAAAAGAAGAAATTGTAACTGATGCCACCAACTAACCTCATTAAGTGCATTCATAACTAAACCAGCAGATCTCTTCTTGTTTGACACCTGAGAACCACAATAAAGTGCATACAAAATGTAACAAAAACATAAACATCTCACCCTTTACAGACTATCATATTGTTAAGTGTAGGATGATAGTAATGAAGTCATCAATATCGGCTTCAAAACATCATCTTCATCAACCTTCAACAAGTAGGTACAAAAAAATTTCATTCAAAGGGATACGTTTTCCTTTGACCAACAAAAACTCTGACTCCGAGCTATGAATGATAGGATCCCCAGCTAAGAGAGTGAGACCCCACATTGGTTAGAAAGGGGAACGAATCATTCCTTATAAGGGTGTGTAAACCTCTCCCTACTAGACACGAACCTTGAGAGGAAACCCAAAAGGAAAAGTTTAAAGTGGACAATATCTGGTAGGCTTGGGTTGTTACAGATGGTATCTGAGCAGTGTGCCAACGAAGACGCTGACCCCTAAGAGGGGTGGATTGTGAGATCCCACATCAGTTGGAGAGGGGAACGAAACATTCTTTATATGAGTGTGGAAACCTCTCCCAACTAGACGTGTTTTAAAACCTTGAGGGGAAGCCCAGAGTGGAAAGTCTAAAGAAACATGAAACTGAAACTGGGTTTAGAAAGAAACACAAAGGCCTTAAAGTTTGCTAGGAGTTACAGGAAAAAAGGGTTTAGCAACCAACACCAGGACAGCCAAAAAAACAGAGTACCAAACTTCACTTAACAACGAAGTTTCTATGCTATTGATTCCATACCAAATTTCACCATCAACATCACCATTTACAGTCAGATAAAATTTACCAAAAAAAAAGAACCGTTCTCAGTACAACGACCATGGAGTACATTTACAGTTTATAGATTGAACATTATAACAAGAATGTGAAATGAACACAGTAACAAACCTCAATCCCAGAAAACGAGGAGTCGATAAGAGAAGATCCGAACGAAAAAGGATCCTTCAGTAAAAATCCACGGCGATTAAGAGGAAGATTCTGCTTAATGCGGTTCTGGTGCGAATTCTTCTGAGCAATCGACGAGCCATAACCGGGAAGAGCGGAAGCCTTGGAGCATGGGAGCGTGAAGGACGCCATTGGAGAGCAACCTAGAAGGTTGAAAGAGCTTCTCAGTTCTGACAAACAAAAATCCTCGAAAAAGAAGGGCGGGAAAAGAGGGGTATTGAGTAAGAAATCAAGAAGAATGGCGATGAGATCCAAGAAACAAAGTGGAAATGAAAATGAAAAAATGGAGTTGGAGATTTCAGATGAATTTTCGATAATAACAATGCGATTCGATGAGAGAGTTGAGAGCATTGGATCAAATTAATATCGCCGTTTTTTCTTTTCTTTTTTAACGAAACACAACAAACCCACTCACACACAACACATCATCGCATGCGTTTTTCATACCTTTGCTTTTACGCTCCAACCTTCTTTCTTCTTCCCTCCAACCTTCAAACACTCTATGCTTCTCTCTCTCTCTCTCTCTCTCTCTCTCTCTCTCTATCTCTATCTCTCATTCATTGCAAATTACATGAAATTGGATGATGGTTTTAGCTCAAAGGCTAATTTAATAAAAATATAAATTTATTTTTGAAATACCCATGAAAACTTGGGACGGCATTTTTAAAATAAAAATAAAATTAACCGTTTAAATAAAGTTGTATACGAAATAGAGATCATTTTACCCGCTAGCTAGGGACCCATCATTTTACCCGCTAGCTAGAAACCCACATCGACACCAAATAATAGTTTCTATTGAAAATAAAAAGTGCACATTAAATAGATAGAGAATTTCACAAATGAGACGTAGACAAAGCTTACCCGTAGACAAAGCTTACCCATCACCACCTCATAGACATCTCTAATTGTATTCTTTAATCAAGCTCACTCATTATTAACATAAAACAGCAATATTAATAAACTAAAAACAAAATTTAAAGTAATTGTATAACTATAATTGGCACATAAAAAAGATAAAACAAATATAAAAAAAAAAATTGTTAAAAAACTAACTAAAGTAATGAAAAACAAATTTCTTATTAAATTAAATTCGATTAATGTAAAAAAAAAAAAAAAAAAAAAAAAAAAAAAAAAAAAAAAAAAAAAAAAAA